TAAAAGAGGGAGGAGCTAACGCTAAACACAATATAATTGGAGACTGCTGTGATGGATTGCTCCTGGACCAATGAACACTAAGCACTAATAAAACACAGAATTAAAGGGAAAGCAACACAAAATGAGTCCTGAGTCTGGTGACAGTTATAAAAACACATTAACACATTGACAGCATTATGTTTGTTTGTACACCTCTAAAGATATTTATTTGTTTGCTTAAGTTGCTGGTAACACACCATAAAAATGAAACCCAAGTTGTTCTGAACTGGAATGTTCTTTTAAAAGCGGGCAGGGGAAAGTAGGTGGTTGACAGGACCCATCTATCATTCAGTTTACACCTGTCCATCATGTCTCTGCTCAAGAATCTGCTGCACAACATCAGTGCTAATGGTTAAATCTGGGAGACACCTGTAGGTAGGCCGTGGTGGGCTTAAGAAGCCTACCCCTCTGCCTGGAGGTCAGGGGATGTAAGGGAAAGTCTGAACATTAAGCTCAGAGGTTTGCATGCCAATCATGGCTGGAGGCACACAGTCAAATACCCAGGGGAGGGGGGGGGACTTAACTTTATCCATGGGAGGGACAAAGAAGCAGAGGAGAGAAAGGAAAGGAGGCACTGGGATGGGAAGTGGAGTAGTGTAGACTGGTGGCGGGGGGGGGGGGGGAGGGATAGTAGAGGGTCACTGAATAACTCAATAAGACCAGAATAGACTTGGAGGGGGTTTGGGTGTCCGGGGCCGGTATGACTAAAATGGAAAGTTGAAATGGCCAGAAAAAAAACTAAACGTGAAAGACGACAAGAGGTCAGGTTTCTCTCCGGGGGCTTTGGCCTCCTCGACCTGCAGCCCGGCCGTGGTGGGCGTCAGATCAGAGAGATGGAGACAGACAGAACGACAGACATAAAAAAGATAAAACCCTAGCATTACAGGAATATGGGTCATGACCTTTACTTGGCTCCAACAACCGACTGAAACTTGCAGCCAAGACATTAATTAGGGGGAATACGTTTAGTCCCTGTGGACGAGGGAGGAAGAAGAGAAGGAGAGTGATGGTGCTGGTGAGCAATCACACACAGTGACAGGAGCTAAAAGAGCAGAGAGAGAGAAAAGTATAGACAACAACCAGTAGCCTGTTGCACCAGCTCTGTGAACAATCTGTCTGAAGAGTCAGACAATCATCACATTTACAAACATTACAGATGTTAGATCGAGGTGCGAGTTCACAGTCTGATAAAAGTGAAATAAATGTTGTTTAAAAAGAAGAAGGCTGCAGAGAATGAAGGCAGGTTTGTTACAGTCTGAGGGTGAGGGTTATCAAGCAGCAGGATCTGCAGGACTGAAAATCTGACAAACCATTGGTGTTAAGATACAAATCAAAAGATTAACATGGAAGCTTCTGGTGACTCCGTTTCAAACAACTGCAGTAAAATCTGCACATCAACTGTTGACATGTTGAAAAAGAAAGAAAAGAGCATATAATCTCCATCAGATTCAGAGGACCTCATTGTTGGAACAATTTACCCAATCATATTAGAAACAGCACCAGCTTCAACTTCTTTAAAAGACAAACCATTTATTTCCTGCTTGGCCGATTAACCAATGTGCCATCATAATCATTCTCTACCATAAGAGCTTATTTTCCTTTTCCCCTCTTCTTTAATTTGTCTCGTTCTTGTTTTGCTTTCTTTTACACCTTATTGAGTACGTGTTCTTGTTAGCTTTATTTATTTTGCTTGGACTACATTAATAATTTGTCTCTGTGTTACATGTTTCTCTTTAGGAGGGCCACTCGACGAGCCCCTCTGGCTTTATTTGGCTGCTCCAGCACGTTTCTTTTAAAATTCATATTTTGTTAATTACTCTCTGCCCACTGGCATAAAACTAGAGAGCGACAGTAACGCTTTTAACAGAGGACTCAAACAATGGCTAAACATCAAAACATCAGTGCTCACATGAATAGCTTCTGACTGGGTTATTGTTTGATCATGCTGCCTTTGCTCTACAGTTTATGTCTATTTATGTATTCTCTCCTTATTGTTTTTCTCTGTTTTATCACTTTTCTCCCTATTCCTGTTTTCCTTTCTAAAGCTTCCTGTGGACCGGTGTTGAGAACTAGCATGCTTGCTAAAACACTTAAACAATGCATCTGGTTCGTCCAATGTATCTGTGATGTCCATTCCAAATAAAGTCTATTATCATAACACCGGGAACGTTGAGGCCGTAATCGGGGAGAAAGAGGCGTTTTCCTTCTGAGTCCACCCAGTCTGAGACCGAGACAAGACCGAGTAAAAAAGCTTTACATTCCAAGATTCTGAGTTTCAATAAGCTCTCAGTAAGATCCAGACAGCCGAGTCCTTCAGTCTCTGGTGTAAAACTCTGAAAAGCACTGACAGAGAAGCTGTGTTCTGTTTGGAGCACAGAGTTCAGAGTAAAAGCATCATATCATTGGTTTTTGATGGTTTTTAAGGAGCTCTTAATTTATAAAGCATAACAATCAATCTGCCTACGAGAGGAGAAATCAAGTCGTAGTCTGGACCGACTTCAGACCCCCTCAAGAGGTTTATCTATAAGGGCTCTGTAAAGCTAATACAGACGTCCCAAAGTAAACTCCTTTAAAAGTGGATTGTAATGTGTAATTAAATTGTCCAGGGACATTTATAAACTTCCTAGAAATCCTGACACGACCCTGAAGTCATAAACCATCCTCCTCATGTCAACAGCCAAACCCAGTGCCAGTCTAACCCCCTGCCTCCACCATGATGACCAACCAGTGACAACGCCCCCCTTACCCCAGATCAGTCACACAATCCCTGCCCCACCATGTGTCCACGTCCTGTGTGTGTGTGTGTGTGTGTGTGTGTGTGTGTGTGTGTGGACATAATTAACATGCCGAGCGCTCCTTACACTCTTTGCTCTCTTTGCTCATCTTCCCACGTAAACGGCAGACCTCAATGATTATTATGGTTTCACATCAGGAGAAGAGCTGGGGGGGGGGGGTCGGGTTACTCTCTTAAGGGTGGGGGTACAAGAGCTATACCAGCATGCTTTCCAGCTGACTAAAGGGTAAGATTTATGGAGCAGCTCCTAAAGGCCCCAGACTTTCTCCTCGACATGCTTTATGTAACAAAACAAGACCCAAAGGCTCAGAACAGAAACTGATCAATACATCTAAACACGTCTTTTAAACTTTCATATCTGAGTTCATGTCTTTAAAGTCACTTCATACAGAAATACAGTTATCTTACATATTACTTGGTTTGTAATTTATTACATTTAATGTTGTGTTTGCCTTTCTTGATTTTTTGGTGTGTTAAGTTAGACGGTGACATATCAAATCAAACTTTATTTATATAGCACCTTTCAGACAAATTAAATTGCAGTTCAAAGTGCTTTACAAGAGTGCAGAAAAGTTATTGACAAAAAAAGTAGTTTAAAAAATCATTGTGAGACTAATGCACACCAATAAGAATTTAAAAAATATATATAAAAAAGTATATATTTATAAGTAAAAATATGAAAAAGTAAAATACAACACATAAAAGCAATAAGATATTAAAATGAATACATAGAAGAATATTTATAATTGTAGAAGGATAAAAAAGACAAAACAATAATGTTAAGATTTGAATTTATATATAAAAGCCAGACTGAATAAATGAGTTATAAAACTGCGTTTAAAAATCTCAAATATCATTGTTGTGAGTTTGTGCTCACTTCTCCCAAATGAAGCCTCAAATCACAGCGTTGGATATCGCATAGCCATGCACAGCATCAGACGCTCGCTGTCCCCACCTCATCCATTAAATATTTACTTCTTTGCTCTGTAAGTTTCACTTTCCCCCAAGCACAAAGTCTGACATGTACTACTTTTGTATTGAAGATGGAGAAACAGGAGTGTGGTGCTTTGAGATCTACTGAACTGAAGCTTTTAAATCACTACGACCCCGGAACATAAAAAACGTTTTTTTTAAAACTGAAGCCATAATAGAAATCATGTGGATGTGAGTTCAATCACACACACATTTTGTAGTGAAGGAGTCCTACTGTGTGTGTGTGTGTGTGTGTGTGTGTGTGTGTGTGTGTCTGCAGAGGCGCTGCTTGTCAACAGGCAAGGTATGCGACTGCTTGGGGCCCTACAAACTTTAAACCACAGCATTGCCTCAAAATGTGCAAATTTTGCAACAACAGTAGGAAACCTCCCTAAGGGAACCCCCATCTGACAGCACTCACTCTCTATGCCCTGCTAAGCGTTGCAGTATTATTCCTGTGAAAACCAAAAATTTGTCAATGAAGGAAAATGAAGAGGAGTTATCAGGAAAATAATAATGAACGCTGGTTGGAGGGGCCCCGATGAATTTCTGCCAATTGCCCCTGTGTGTCTGTGCATGCATTTGTGTGTGTGTGTTTATGTGTGTGTGCTTGAGTGTGTGTGTAGGTATATGTGTTGAGTGCGTGTTGTGCAGATTTCGGTGTGTTTCTGCTCTTAAATGTTGTTTTTTTATTTTTTTCCTCTTCTATGATATTGTTTCGATTTTGTTTTTCACTGAAAGTGAAGCACATTGTGTTTCCCTGTGTCTGAAATGTGCAGCATAAAAGATGGCAACACCTCCTACCCCCCAGCCGAGCCATTTACTGACACACGGGCAGAGGCAGCGCCCCGCCATGTGTTCTCGAATAATTAGGGAGAAGTCTGCCCCGCGTCCTGTTAGGTTTCTGATTTACTCAGACAGCCTGGCACATGGGCCACTCCTCTGGATACCAAGAAAACATTTACCTCCTTAACTGGGAAGGGATCACAGTCATCTCAGGCTAAAGTTTCTGAACTCAATAGGATTGATTACACATTTCAACACATGCTGCCCCCCACCCCACCCCCTGCTCCTCACAGGTTCAAAGGATAAGCCCACCCCCATCATGATGGCAAACATCACTATGAGCTCATAGAAGCTCAGTGGAGAACATGCTGGAATATATGATGCATTTTTTTATTTAAGAAAAAAGAGAAAGAAAAGAAAATACAAAAACAGCATTGGACATTTAAAAAAAAAAAAGACAGATACCGAGATTTCTAAATAATTCAATCATCTGGAGCTATTTCAATGTTAACAAACGAGCGTCATCCAGGACTCTGACGATGTTGTTGACCGTTAATTGCTCGTCCTCGAGGCCAGAGAAGCCCATCTTCACGTTGACCTCAAATGAGTCAGAACTTTAATTATGGCCAGTTGACAGTTTGAAGAGCGGTGGGAGGAGGAGGAGGAGGGTTTTTACAACACGGACAGGGAGGAGTTCCTCATGTGGACATACTGTAGGGGGTCCGATCACCAGCATGCACTCCCCCCCTCCTCCCCCCCCAACCCCGCCCGGGTCCTGAGAGGTTGTTTAAAATGCCAAATGTTACAGTGCACCGTGGCAGAGCGCTATACCGAGCTCGTCCTGCTGCACAAGACACCGTCCTGCATGAGAAAATGAATCATTCATGCAATACCGTTTAAATAAAGACACACAGATGAATGAATAAAAGAGCTGCGTCTTCTGATACAGTCAAAGAATAATCCTTAAAACGCACACGACCTCTCATTCTAAATCTGCTACAAGCAACAGCAGCCTCTATCTAAATCATTACGGCAATGCAACAATCCTGGATGTGTGAATTATTTGAGTGCGTGTGGGCGCACTTGTCTTGTCGGGCACTTGTCGAGGTTGTGTGTGTGTGTGTGTGTGTGTGTGTATGTGTGTGCATGACAAATGGTGACGGATATAAATAGAAGGGAAGAGAAAGAAAGCAACAGACAGAGGTCCACCTGTTTGACACAGAGAGCCTGAGAAAGTGCAGAAGGAATGAGCAGAATGCCTGTGTGTGTGTGTGTGTGTGTGTGTGTGTGTGTGTGTGTGTGTGTGTGTGTGTGTGCGCATTACAGGTTGAGGTCCACACAGTTCAAATGTGTGTGTTGTCCAACTGATAATACTATGGGAGCTCTGGGGAATGGCATCCAGAGAACGGTATGTAGAAAAGCAGCTGATGAGATGATCACACACACACAAACACACAAACTATTAAAATTATTTGACCAATAAAAAGTTCTCGGATAGATCAGCAGACACACACACACACACACACACATATGATAGATATAGAGTTATAGCTCCAGTATACACAAGGCTGAGCTAGTGTCCCCTCTGTGTGTGTGTGCATGTGCAGTGGGTACATATGTGGGAGTGACACAGTGAGACGGGAGCGCACGACAAGGGGCTGCAGTGAGAAGGAAAAGTGGGAGAAACTGGAGCAAGTGTGAACCAGAGAGTGATGCAAATAAACAAACAAAAATAAACAAACGTGCGTCGTGCCAAGATGAAGCCAAAAAAGGAAAAGCGTGGACATCAGAGACAAACTCCTCTGCAGTTTTTGTGTGTCATGAAATTCTTTAGGCTATTACTTCTTCCTGGACGTTAACCTGAGGATACAAAGTCTTCAACTCAATAAGTGGACAAGCTTAAACACTGGCTGTTTTGAGTATTGAGTGCCTTCACAATTACATAATTGGCAAAATTGAAGTGCATGATGGGTACCATAGGGTGCACTCATAGTCGTCCAAAAGTTGAGCGTGGAGGAGACACTCAGAAGGCTTTTTTAAATTTGCAACAGCAGGATTGAAATAACAGGTTTGTTAGATCCAGATGTTGCAGCTGGTAGAACATGTGTCTGTCTCTATGCACTCTGTTATCAGTGTCTGACAGGTGACAGGATATCAAAAGTACTCAGCTTGGCTAGTTATCAATTACTCCTCAGATTTGTGCATGTATACCAAATCCTTGTTTTTTCCATGTTTCCATACATCAGTGTTTGCAGGGGGGTTGGGTCTGCAGACTGGAGAAAGGGGAAAATGTCAGTGAGAGCAGGACCTCGATGCAGAGAAGCACATATGATTTATGGGTGAAATAAATGGGATCACTGTTGGCACGGTAACAGGATCCATGGAAGAGGGGGGGGTGAGGAGGGAGGAATCTTTGGTGGTGGTAATGGGCTCCATGGTATCTTTGGATGGGATGGGGGTAAGGGGGGGGGGGGGGGGGGGGGGGGTTGGCAAGCTGATGCTGAGAGAGCAAAGGTGCAGCACAGCAACTGTGAGAGAGCCCACTACTACAGCACAGTGTGTGTGTGTGTGTGTGTGTGTGTGTGTGTGATACATCCACTTTTTATTAAACAAAAAGTGGCAGAGAGGCTGTAGTCAGTCTGAAAACAGTCCTACATTTTAAAAATATAATATTAATGGGTCTTCATTAGTGAAAGCATGTTGCTTCAGGTACCTCTGAGAAGACAAACTTTAAGTTTTACACCCATTAGATTGAATCCAGAAAACCAGAGACAGAGTTTAAGAACTCATATCGAAGCAACTAAGATCTCATCCTCTCTCTTAAAAGATAAAGTTACAAATAAAAATGAATGTTTACTTCGATGAAACAGCAATATGAAATAAAGAGCGGAGAAGGACATACTGGAGAAAAATAAATAATGCAGCAGTTTAATAACCTGCACAGGGATCGTATGGGTGGCGTGCAGACAGTCTATGGTCGTGCAGCGATCACAGGGAACGAACACCCGCCCCTCGCTCGAGGTGAGTTCTCCTGTTTACTTATGATTGACGTTGACCAGAGATATTTGCCTATAGGGATTCAGCCATTACAGCCTCTTTCATCTATTCAATCAATCGATCAAACTACCAGATGACTTCTGATGAGGACCTTTTTTTTTTACCTTTAAGTCATACATACTCCAAAAAATAAAATATAGCACAGGATTAAAATAGAATTCCCCTTTAACATGTCGATGTTCATGGCTCATTAGAGCTTTATAATGTTAATTTTCAGTAAGTGATTTACAAAATTCATGACATTAGAGCTCAGACCTACGACGGAGGGTAAGGGCCATGTTGAAAAAAAATAATAATATTTTTTTTTTATTTCAAGATTAAACTCGTAAATTTACGAGGATAAAGTTATATATTTATGAGATTAAAGTCTTAAATTAACGAGTTTGTCATTTGAGAATAGGATGCTGCTGCTCTTCTGATATAAACTAAAATAACAACTTTATTCTTTTAAGACTTTAAGAGTTCTACTTACATAATTTTCGCGCAGGCTGGTCTCGAACCCGTAAATTTACGAGATTAAACTCGTAAATTTACGACTTTATTCTCATTAATTTACTACTTTAATCCCGAAACTAAAAAAAATCAAAAATTAACGCGGCCTTAATCCTCCATCGTACAGACCAGGAATAAGATTATACAGAAAAATGGCTGAAGTCTGCAAAGTGATACACAGTACTGGGCTTAAAGTCAGGAGGCATATTAGTGGAGCAGCGGGGACAGCGTCAGAGAGAGGGAAGAGTCTGAGTGATGCTGGATGAGAGATGGAGAGGGAGAGAGAAAATAAGACCCAAAGTGAGATAGAGACCTACACAACGCTTCCACAGGCCTGTCACAGGGGGGCTGGAAGACGCTCGGCTCAGCACTCCTCTCCCCGTGTTCTGTCCGGTCCTGACATTTATCTGCTTTATTAGATTATCTGGGCTACATGGCTGTCTCTGAGATACACACATATAGATACATATACACACACACACCTCTCGATTCATTACAGCCTTAACTGCTTACTTAGGTGTATGCCCTCTTTAAATTAAAGCACAGATAACGGAGCACCCCTCCGCCCCCCCTCACACCCAGAGGAGAGGCTGCAGCCAGGCGAAATGAAGACACATGGTTTGTGAGTGTATTATCATGCATGTGTGAGTGGTCATAAGGTTTGCTTTTTAACGGGCTCATCTATAGGGACTCTGCTTCCCATCATTAGTAATTCAATTTGCTCTTTATTAGCAGCTCTTATCGGAGGCACAGACGGCTACATGCAGCTCTCCTCACTCCATCTCCCTCCACCCTCCACCCCTGCCCCACCTGTCCCTGTGTCTCTGATTCTGAATCCACATTCAGGTTTCTCTAAATGACATGTGGAGAAATGATGATGAGGAGAAGAAAGAAGGTGATAGGATGTAGGAAGGATGAGAAAAGGACACGTGAAGTTAAAGAATCAGAAAAAAAGAAGCAGCAAAGAGAAGCAGACTGATAGACACAGAACCATGGGGACGAATAAAGCCTAATGTTAATAGTGATGGCTTTTCTAATGTCTTCTGACTCCACTGAGTAGGGGAGATTACAGCGAGATTGGGCATGAGGCGTGTAGGGTACACGCAGAATGACCGAAGGGTTGGAGGGGCAAGAGGAAAGGGAAGGAGGGAGGAGGAGGGAGAAGGCGGCTGTAAAAACAATGATTGCTTTCCATCAGGTTAGGCCTATATTCTACAGTTCGTTAAAACAATCCAATTTGCAAAAGGATAATTATGCATTAGCTCCTTTTTATCTACTGGAGGGAGAGCAGTGCCAGGGCTTGATAGCGAGTGGCGCTGCCTGCCTCCACCTCTGCAAATTACCCGCTATCGGCACTTGTTCGCCATCACGGCTGAATTGGGCAATCAATTAACCCCCCCCCCCTCCTCTTATAGTGTGTCTGTAAAGCCTCTCCAGTGACAGCATGCAACACAAAGCCCTACACGCACTACATGGGTGGGAGCTGCTGCCCTCTAGTGGACATAAATGGAACAACCGCTGTCAGAGTCGCAGCATCAGGCACACTTACTTACTCAAATATCTTTGTCCCATTTCCAAAATAGAAACCGATTAAATGCAGGTTTTTGAGGATGCGGTGTGAAGAAAATAATGCTTTTGAGTGTGCTACTGGTGGTATGAACTATTGTCCCATAAAAATGAAAACAGAATATTGAACATAATTCCCAAATAAAATTAAATGAAAAATCTGAGGTTTTGAATTTTTTAAGCCTTGAATTTCATTTTTGAAAAATTCCCTTTTTTTAAAATCACACTTGCAGTGACGTTCCACATTTGCAGGTTGACTGAACCAACTGCAATGCAATACTTTAAAAACAGTGAGGATTAAAACGCTCTGGAAGTAAAACGAAGCAATGCTTAGCAACATATTTCACGTGTGTTTCTTACTTGTTCTTGATAAGGTCGGGGACAGCCGCCTCAACTTGTGTAGACCGAAAGACACGAGCTCTCTGGAGGGAGTCCTCCTCACTCCTGTGGGAGACCGGGCTGAGCTGTAGATCCTGCTCCGGGGGGAGACCTTTGATGCTGACCCTCCTCCACTGTACGGTCACAGAACAGGGGGCCAAAGTTTTATATCACTGATACACCAGATGCTATGATTAAGCAAGTGATACTGATAAATCTCTATTTTATTCATGCCTACATAAACAACAGTCTGACATACTTTGCTGCCACCTGCTGGCCAAAAGAAGTCACACAAAATACACTCAGAATAGTATCAAAGTATCAACCTAAGCAATATAAATGTATATTAAAATAAATACAGATCATGTTTCCATTTCTTACTTTGTGGCAGACTTCCTGATGATCTTCATCCTGCTGCGGAGCTTGAACCCACCGGGGGAGGGTGTAAAGGAGGTACGCTGGCAGGGAGGAGAAACAAGCCCTCCTTTTACACTTTTGCAGCTTTTGTCCGACGTCCAGTGGAACGCAGATTTACGACGGACCACTGATGTGCCTCCTTGCACTGCTGCAAAAGAACTCTGACCTCCCGCCTTCCAGCGGTACCGGCTGCTCGGCGAGGAGCCGGACGGGGAACCTGCGGTGCCCTTTTTGAACTTAGCGGAAGGAGCGGAGGGTGTTCTGACTTTCTTGGCGGCCTCTCTCTTCTCCAGAGCTTTGGGAGGAGTTGATTTTCTATATATTTTAGTTTGTGAACCCGCAGAGGAGGAGACCCATCTGTACTTGGAGGTCTTTGGGGCTACAGTGACTGGGCTTAGCTTTCGAGGTAGCTTCTTGTTGGGGGTTCTTTTACCAGTTGGGAGTAAGGGGGAGCTTCCAACAGCAACCCCGACTTTGGAGGTCGACGTCGGGGCGACGGTCACAGCTTTGGCTGCTGGTGAAGAAACAGAGCTAGCTTGTTTAGCCTCTGCTCCCTCCACGTTTCGACTCTTAACCCAAGTGAACTTTGACTTTTTTAAATAAGAAGCACTCACTTGGCTGTGGCTGGAGTGTGCTGCAGGCTTCACTGCCAGCTGTTTTGGTATTTTAGACGGGGCAGAGAGAGGTAGACCAGTATGACCAGTGGGGAGATTGGCTGGATGTTTTGAGGTATTAGAATGTTTTGACTCAGTGCTGGTTTTCTTTGATAGGGGAGGCTTTAGGGGGCTGCTATTCAAATCGGTGGAGGTCTTGGCTTTGGGGGAAGATGGCACCTCTGCAGAAACACTGACTTTCTTCTCTGGCAGGACTGCACGTCTGTGTTCAGGCCCCTGCTGGAGAAGTGTTTGATGTTGGGTGTTAACAACTGTTGAGCCTGAACCTCCTTCTCCATCGTCGTGCTCTGACCCGGCTGCTTTGCTTTGAGTAAATGTGTTTTTCTTCTCTGTTATAACTCCACTACTCCCTGCACTGTTCTCAACGCGTCCCTCTCTCCTGTGCTGAGAGACCACTGATGACAAAGCAGTCCCTTTGGCAGCATCGCTTTCCTCTCCTCGGCTGTGGCTGGGCAGTGACGTGCTGTTAGCTGCACTGGTGGAGACGGACTGATGACCAGAAGAGGAGGTAGAAGCTGAGGGAGGTCCAACAGACGTCTGAGGGGTTTTGTTTCTCAGCGAGTAGGTCTTCTTCCAACTTCCACGGCTCTGAAGATCGTACACTCCCCTCCCTCTGGAGCTCTGAGGATCGTACACTCCCCTCCCTCTGGAGCTCTGAGGATCGTACACTCCCCTCCCTCTGGAGCTCTGAGGATCGTACACCCCCCTCCCTCTGGAGCTCTGAGGATCGTACACTCCCCTCCCTCTGGAGCTCTGAGGATCGTACACTCCCCTCCCTCTGGAGCTCTGAGGATCGTACACTCCCTCCCTCTGGAGCTCTGAGGATGGATGACCGACGAGCTGTGACCTCTACCTCTGGATAATGTTGAAGCTTCTGGGTGCCTTTGCTCAACTCTTGCATTCGGCGCGTCACCGTGGACACTCTTATGTGTGTTGATGAGATCTGGAAATGTAAAAAATATATATTCAGTTGTACATTCACTTACAGAAAATAGCAAATTAAAGAAGCCAACCTGTGCAGTAAACTTATGAATAGCAACAAATAGAGTACATGTCTACATTTCAAAATAAGATAAGATAGATACAATGCATGTTCCAATATTAAGACGACATGCATTCATCACATTCAGAATTCATGCATTCCAGCAGATTGGACTTAAAATGCAGTAAACAAACTCCAACTCAACCCAAACGCTGTGACCAGAGTGGTAACAGTTCATATTGAAGTCAAAGTATTACTACTGCTCTACGAAGGACTAATGGTATGGCACGCAGGGTCCGAAATTAACTTTTTGACTCACCGGCCAAACATACTTTTTACCGGCCAAAATAACAAATAGTGTTTTTGTGTCCCATACACATCTGTTACAGTACATTTAATTGAGAAGGCATTATGTTCTGTTTAATCAATAACAAATTTAAGTCACAGATTCGATCATTTCATCAGATCAGGAAATTGAAAAATTGTAAAAAAAAAGTGTATATTTTCTGGCCTTTATTATTTCTTTAGATGTAATATTTGTAGGCAGTAGTTCCCAGGTGAGGTGCATTAAGTCACTATGGTGTCACTCTGGAGAAACTGCCTGCTGACCTGAGGTCTGTCTATGTTTAGAGTGGTCTTAAAACATTGCTTTTCTCTCCTGTCTATGACTGTTACTTTTGTCTTATGGTGTACGGTTGGAGTACGCTCCTCTGTATCTAGTAGGAACAGGTGCATGTGTGCATGTGTTGTACAGGATGGTGCAGGGTTCTTTTATCAATGTGTTTACAGACAGTTTGACACTTTTTCTTTGTGCTTCTGAATCTGTTTGTATGTTGTTGTTTCTTCAACGGTTTTTTTGGTGGGGCTTTTTATGCCTTTATTTAGAGACAGTGGATAGAGCCAAAAATAGTTTTTTGTCAAAAAAACATGCAGGAAAGGAGCCACAAGTTGGATTTGAACCCGGGCTGCCCGCTTGGAGAAGATCAGCCTCTGTACGCAGGGCATGCGAACTATCCACCAGGCTACCGGCGCCCCGTTCGTTGTTGATTTTAACAATGACAGTTTGTTTATTTTTTTGTCTTCTGTAAAGAAGATGACTTGGTGAACGTAGTTGCCTGTGTAACACGTAGTTACCTGTGTAACACTACCTGCGTAACACTACCTGTGTAACACGTAGTTACATGTGTAACACTACCTGTGTAACACTACCTGTGTAACACGTAGTTACCTGTGTAACACTACCTGTGTAACACGTAGTTACATGTGTAACCCGAAGTTACATGTGTAACACGTAGTTACATGTGTAACACGTTGTTACCTGTGTAACACGTAGTTACCTGTGTAACCCGAAGTTACATGTGTAACACGTAGTTACATGTGTAACACTACCTGTGTAACACGTAGTTACATGTGTAACCCGAAGTTACATGTGTAACACGTAGTTACATGTGTAACACGTTGTTACCTGTGTAACACGTAGTTACCTGTGTAACCCGAAGTTACATGTGTAACACGTAGTTACATGTGTAACACGTTGTTACCTGTGTAACACGTAGTTACCTGTGTAACCCGAAGTTACATGTGTAACACGTAGTTACCTGTGTAACACTACCTGTGTAACACGTAGTTACTGTGTAACCCGAAGTTACATGTGTAACACGTAGTTACATGTGTAACACGTTGTTACCTGTGTAACACGTAGTTACCTGTGTAACCCGAAGTTACATGTGTAACACGTAGTTACATGTGTAACACGTTGTTACCTGTGTAACACGTAGTTACCTGTGTAACACGTAGTTACTGTGTAACACGTAGTTACATGTGTAACCCGAAGTTACATGTGTAACACGTAGTTACATGTGTAACACTACCTGTGTAACACGTAGTTACATGTGTAACCAGTAGTTACCTGTTTAACACGTAGTTACATGTGTAACCCGTAGTTACATGTGTAACACGTAGTTACCTGTGTAACACGTAGTTACCTGTGTAACACGTAGTTACCTGTTTAACACGTAGTTACATGTGTAACCCGTAGTTACATGTGTAACCCGTAGTTACATGTGTAACACGTAGTTACATGTGTAACCGAAGTTACATGTGTAACACGTAGTTACATGTGTAACACTACCTGTGTAACACGTAGTTACATGTGTAACCCGTAGTTACCTGTTTAACACGTAGTTACATGTGTAACCCGTAGTTACATGTGTAACACGTAGTTACATGTGTAACACTACCTGTGTAACACGTAGTTACATGTGTAACACGTAGTTACAAAAAAACATGCAGGAAAGGAGCCACAAGTTGGATTTGAACCCGGGCTGCCCGCTTGGAGAAGATCAGCCTCTGTACGCAGGGCATGCGAACTATCCACCAGGCTACCGGCGCCCCGTTCGTTGTTGATTTTAACAATGACAGTTTGTTTATTTTTTTGTCTTCTGTAAAGAAGATGACTTGGTGAACGTAGTTGCCTGTGTAACACGTAGTTACCTGTGTAACACGTAGTTACATGTGTAACACTACCTGTGTAACACTACCTGTGTAACACGTAGTTACCTGTGTAACACTACCTGTGTAACACGTAGTTACATGTGTAACCCGAAGTTACATGTGTAACACGTAGTTACATGTGTAACACGTTGTTACCTGTGTAACACGTAGTTACCTGTGTAACCCGAAGTTACATGTGTAACACGTAGTTACATGTGTAACACGTTGTTACCTGTGTAACACGTAGTTACCTGTGTAACACGTAGTTACATGTGTAACCCGAAGTTACATGTGTAACACGTAGTTACATGTGTAACACTACCTGTGTAACACGTAGTTACATGTGTAACCAGTAGTTACCTGTTTAACACGTAGTTACATGTGTAACCCGTAGTTACATGTGTAACACGTAGTTACCTGTGTAACACGTAGTTACCTGTGTAACACGTAGTTACCTGTTTAACACGTAGTTACATGTGTAACCCGTAGTTACATGTGTAACCCGTAGTTACATGTGTAACACGTAGTTACATGTGTAACCCGAAGTTACATGTGTAACACGTAGTTACATGTGTAACACTACCTGTGTAACACGTAGTTACATGTGTAACCCGTAGTTACCTGTTTAACACGTAGTTACATGTGTAACCCGTAAGTTACATGTGTAACACGTAGTTACCTGTGTAACAC